ATGTGGTTGTTGATGGTATACCCTTCTACAAAACGCTAAATTCATAGATTGGTTACTAGATAAAATTTAATTTATAATTTAACCAATTGGACTTCTCCACAAAATTGCTTTCCAGGGTATATAATTTGTTCATCATCATTAATTAATTATATAGAAAATTCAAATGAAATAACCGATAATTCCAGTGATGTAGAGGTACTACAAAAAGTTAGATTCTCCCTATTCTGGTTGCTCGAAGGAACATTATTTCCTAATAAATCAGGAAGTAAATTTACTTATGATTTGTTTTATTGAAATGAGTAACATACATGCAATGGCAACACAAGCTTGGGGAGCAGCCACACTTTCTTACTTCACCACATAATGAATGATACAAGTAAGAAATGTGGTAGCTCCCCAAGCTTGTGTTGCTAATGCATGTATGTCACTCATTTCAATAAAAAAATCATAAGTAAATTTCCTTCAGGAAATAATGTTCCTTTGAGCAACCAAAATAAGTACAATCTAAATTTTTGTAGTACCTCTACATCAGTGGAATTATTGATTATTTCATTTGAATTTTTTATATAATTAATTAATGATGATAAAAAAATTCTATACCCTTGAAAGCAATTTTGTGGAGGAAACGAACTGGTTAAATCATAAATTTAATTTTTTCTAGTAACCAAATCTATGAGTTTAACGTTTTTTAGAAGAATCAGTGTACCATCAACAATCATGCCGAACATAATTTTCATGTCCTGCATAGTTATTGTTGTTTCACCAGTTCTCATATGAAAGGTATGAGTTTGTGGCAGTCACCTTTCAATCAAAGTAGTAATAATGCTGGTATCGCACAAAATATATCATACTTCATGAACACCTCTAAAATTCGTGTAATTAAAATAATTTAGTACACAACGATGACGTGAATTATTTTGTATGTGTTGCAATAATTCATGATCATATCGGTGCACTGTTAAACGTGTATCCTTCACAGTTATTTCACCATTTTAGATTTTTTCAGATCGATGATCTTGTTGTAACGTTAAAACATCATATTCAATTGGTCTAGGATGTATAAATTTTTCTTGATTCATCTATATATCAAAATAAGAAAAAAATTACATCAATATTGATACTACAAGTTAAAATTAAACTATTAATTTAAAAATATAAATTTAGAAGTTTACCACTAAATTACCTTATATTAGTCTTGATTCTACAACGATTGATGTAAAGTTATTTTCTTTTTGCTTTAATAACTTAAGAAAAGATTTAGGATATTGAAGATCAAAGAGATTTAGAGTGATTTAGGATTTGAAAGCCTTTGGAGAATTGTGTGAATTTATATAAGGTCCAACGGAGAATACAAGGCACATCATGACAAATATATTAAGACACATCATAACAAGCAAGTCGCAAACACCAAAATGCCTTATAAGGCTCAACTACCTAAATGTCTTACAAAGGGTCACAAACACCAAAATATCTTACAAGGCACAACTAACTAAATGTCTTACAAACTAAATGTGTCACATTACTTTTGCATGCATGCATATATTATTATAAACCAATTTTTTGCTAATTATTTATTATATTAAATACTTTAAATTTTTAAAAAATATATATTTATAAATGCATCTATACATTTTTATATATTATCATAAGCTAATTTTTTTACTAATTATTTAATACATTAAATACTTTAAATTGTAAAAAAATATTAATTATTCAACACGAACAGAAACTAAAGAAAATAAAGAAAAACACAAGGTACTCTACGCCTTATCCTGAACCTTTGCCAAAAATTAGGAAGCCGCAACGTACTCTGGATCTTACAAGGCACAAGAAACAAAAATTAAAGGAAGGTGCATGGTACTTTATGCCTTACAAGGCACAAGAACCCCTGAGCCTTACTTTAGAATTTTGTTCCCCGTGAATCTTGCAAATTTTGATTTGATTCAAAATTGTAAAGTTTGTCTTCATTTAAATTTATTTTTTTGCCTTCTTTTAGATTTTATTTTTTTGAATCTCGTAAATTTTATAATATTGATTTGATTTAACACTGCAAAGTTTGTCTTCCTTTAAATTTTTGTTTTGTCTTCCTTAAGATTTTACTTTTTTGCATCCTGCAGATTTTGCAGTGTTCATTTGATTCAACACTATAAATTTTTTTATAATAACTTCAATTTATTAATCAAATTCAATTATTACATAATAATTTATATTATTTCTTAATTATAGAAAAATAATTTAAAGTGTAATGTAAAATATTTATAAAAGTTTTGCAGTTTTGAATCAAATCAACACAACAAAGAAAGGCGCGGGAGGTAATGTGTCTTACAAGGCACAAGGTCCATTGTGCCTTTCTTTAGAGTCTTGTTTTGTGTGTTGAATCTTTGCAGTATTGATTTGATTCAACACTGTAAAGTTTGTCTTCCTTTGAATTTTTGTTTTGCCTTTCTTTAAATTTTACTTTTTTGCATGTGAATTTTTGTAGTGTTGATTTGATTCAACAATGTAAAATTTTTAAATTTATTTATAATGACTTCAATTTATTAATTAAATTCAATTATTACATAATAATTTATACTATTTTTTAATTATAGAAAAATAATTTAAAGTGTAATTTTATAAAAAAAAATTAGTGTTGAATCAAATCAATACGGTAAAGGAAGGCGCAAGAGGCAATGTGTCTTATAAGGCACAAGGTCCATTGTGTCTTACTTTAGAGTCTTGTTTTGTGGGTTAAATCTTTGCGGTATTAATTTGATTCAACACTACAAAATTTGTCTTCCTTTAAATTTTAGTTATGCCTTCTTTTAGATTTTATTATTTTTGCATGTGAATTTTTATATTGTTTATAATGACTTCAATTTAGTAATTAAATTCAATTATTACATAATGATTTATACTTTTTTTTTAATTATAGAGAAATATTTAAAGTGTTATGTAAAATATTATAACATTTAAAGAGGCAATGTGTCTTCCAATGCACATGGTCCATTGTGCCTTACTTCAGAGTTTTGTTTTGTGGGTTGAATCTGAAAGTTTTTAAAATTATGAACTGAATTTAATTTTTAAAATTATGATGTGAATTTGATTCAGTGTTGAATCAAATCAATATTGTCAAAAAAAATAAAATCGTACTTACAAGGCGCACATGCCTTTGTGTCTTACTAGGTACAATGTTCCATGTCCTTACTTGAGGGTTCTATTTTATTTTGTTATTTATTCGATATCGATATTGGAGCCCTACTAAATTTGTATTTGCATCAGAAAGTTCCACGTAAAGGGGTAATTAAAGAAATAAAATAATAATATATAAATTTAAAATATAAAAAAATCTCCATTGGTAATGAATTTGTAAGTAAGTAGTATTATTTTTCAAAAATAAAAATATAACGTGTGTTGTACCTTTAAAAATAAAATAATGCATTCCGCTTTTAAATATTTGGGAATAAAAATATGACATGTATTCCATCTTTTAATCTTTTAATATGAAGTACGCTTGTATACCTTCTTTGCTTATTAATGAAGGTATAAAAAATGATATACTCCCTGTGTCAATTATTAATTATTACAACCTACTCCTTTATATATAGTTTTTTACAATTTTAAAAAGAAATAAAATAAGACTTAGTTTATAAAAATCAAATTAGCTTTTTAATAAAATCGATTTTCAAAAGTCGCCACTTAATTTTTAAGAAAAATTAAAAAAACTTACAATTTTCAGAAGACTCAAACAAAAGAAATTATTTGACAATACCAAAGAGGGTTCAGGGTTCAGTGTTCAAATTTATACTTCGAGAAGGGTTTAAGCATTTGAAGTGTTCGCTAACGTGCAGTTAACCTGCGACTTAACTAAAGATTTGACTAACTTTGAAAATGCTAATTAAGTAAAAAAAGAAAATCCTATTTTTTAAAAATTGAAAGGAAATAGACTAAAAAAGGGGGGGGGGGGGGGTTAAAGGAAAATAACTCCTATATTGATAAACAACTAAAAAATAAAATAAGTAATAAATAAAGCATAAATATTTCAATTTAAACATGGAAAAAAAGAAACAACTATCTTTTTGAGAATTTAATTAAAATTAACCAAATTAAAACAAAAGTTAGTTAATACAATAACAAATAAGGAAGAAAATAATTCAAACTTGGGCTTTTAACCCACCTGTCTTAAGTCTAAAATAGCTTCTGCTGAAATAAATGGGTTTCAGCCCATTTTGCCTTAAAAACTGCTTGGGCCTGCTGCAAAAGAAGAAGTTGGAAAAATTACATGGATCAATACTTTTTAATAAATAATTACTGATTTTAGCGATACTTTTTATTTATTATCATTTATAGCAATACATAACAATATTATGTTAAATCTGCAATATGTATTAGAAGTAAATTATGTATGCAATATATATGTATTATAACTGTTTTTTTTAAATATATTATGCTTGTTTGGTAAGAAATTGACACATTGTATTATAAGTGTATTAAAATGTGTGATAAATATACTATCCATGAATAAAACTTGTATTATATGTGTTCTATAAGTTGTTCTCTGTAATATGTATTAAAAGTGTGTTATAAATGTATTAAAAATGATCAAGTGAAAAAAAATGTTATTGCTATAAATGGTGAATATTTTTTTAGTATAGTATATCTATGTAAGTTTCCCGAAGAAGTTTGGGTTTTGGCCCATTCTTCCTGTATACCATATATGCAGAAAATGTATATCTGCGTATATCAGGCTGTGTATCAGCCAAATTTTCTTTAAAATCCTGTATATCACTTCTTTTTTCCTGTAATCATGCCTTTCAACCTGTATATCCACACTTTTCTCCGTATATCAGCATATACCGTTGTATACATCATGTATACAACCCATTTTTAAACTTTTGGAGACTTATATTTCGACTTCCAACCTATGTATAAATCATCATCATCAATTGATAGAAATCAACAAGCTAATCAGAGTAATCAGTGGTGTTCACATAATTTTTTTTTAAATTAATTTATTAGCAATGGCTTTGGCACCCTTAGCTTTGAAAAATCTGCAACAAAAATCAAATCCAAGTGTGAGGCATCTGAGTTATAATGTACAGAAACAGAGATGGTGCTCTGAACTTGTACGGCGTTTTTCTACAGAGTTTGAGAAACAACAAGTAGCTGATGTAGCTGGCAATGAAAAATCAGAGAATCAACAAGTAACTGTTTCCGATAGTGGCAAAAAATCAAAGCTATTTCCAAGAAGACGCCGCCGGGGTAATCTCCCCCCCCCCCCACCCCCACCATTTTTAACATGATTTTTTTTTTTTTAGTTTAATGAAATGATTTATAGTTACGTGATTTTAAATTTAACTTTAGCAATTATAAAAGTTTCAACTTTTCTAGTGACATCCTTAAAATCAAAATATTTTAATATATATAAATTTTTGAGTTGCTGTCTTTATTTTTTAACACCATAAGACTTGTGTATACTCTTTAGTTTAATATTTTAAGACTAAATTATTTTTAAAAAAAATTTCGGATGATATTTTTAGCACCACAAAATTTATATATATGGTGCTCCCTGTCTATTTGCCAACTCTAAATTCTAAATTTGATTCTTCTTGGGACAGAAACTTTACCAACAAGACTTCTTGGAAATGCATTATTGCAAGCCACACAATAGGGGTGTACATGGTCGGATTGGTTCGGGTTTTTCAAATATCAAACCAAATTATTTGTGTCTGATTTTTAAATCTATAAACCAAACCAAACCAAACCAAACCAATAAAACTTGGGTTTTTCAACCTCGGGTTTTTTCGGATTTTTTTGGGTTTTTTGATTTTCGGATTTTCCGCTAAAGTATTCATACAAACATATAATTAACTTGTACTTCAAATATTTCTTCAGTCCTATCAAAATACAACTATCTAAGGTGTTTCTTAAGAATACAACACAACAATGATATGATTAATGACACTAAAATATCCAAAAATAATAATAATAATAATAATAATAATAATAATGAAATCGCGTAAAACAAATATTGCAAATTAACAAGTCATAATGAAAATGATCATAATTTAAAAGTACTAAATCATGCTAAAATAAGTTTAATAAGTATTAGTTACATGACTAAATATTAAAGGAAATTAAAATTAGATTATATACTTTAATTGTCTAAACCAATGTAAAACCAAAGAACAAATATTCAATATTATTGTCATTCTTAGTGTTAAATTGATTTTCTTTTTGCATTAGTATTAATTTGATTTTGATTTAAGTTTTATTATAATTACTAACATTTATGGACTATAATCTTTATGGAACCATTCAAAATTCTAAGTTTCAAACTTGAAATAATATATTAAAGGCAAAATGCATAAGTACCCCCCAGCCTATGCCCAAAATACTTGAGACACACCTAACCTTTACTAAGATCCTATTACCCCCCGAACTTATTTTATATATAATTTTCTACCCCTTTTCGGCCTACGTGGCACTATCCTTGAAAAAATTGTCAACACGCGTTGGGCCCACAATATAGTGCCACGTAGGCCGAAAAGGGTAGAAAATTATATATAAAATAAGTTCGGGGGTAATAGGGCCTTAGTAAAGGTTAAGTGTGTCTCAGGGATTTTGGGCATAAGCTGGGGGGTACTTATGCATTTTCCCTATATTAAAAGATAAAAACTATGAAAAAGTATAAGAAATATTTTAAAATTATATCAAAGTAAATATTTTTATGCATAAAATAAAATTTTAAAATTATATATACAATGTCGGGTTGGTTTTTTCTAGTTAAAACCAAACCAATCCAAATATAGTCGGGTTTTTTTTTCCAACACCAAACCAAGTCAAACCAACCACTAGTCGGATTTTTTTTTCCGATTTAACTCGGTTTGCGGCTTGGTTCGGTTTTATACACCCCTACCACAAAGAATATCAACAAGATATTTGATAACCTTAACTTGAATCCCTCACAATTACTGAAAAGGTATAAGGAGGATGATAAGAATTACAAAATCCGTTACGACGTGCCAGGGCTAGGCAAGGAGGACGTGAAAATTATGGTTGAGAAGGAAGAAGAAGGATCAGATGATGAGTTTTGGTCATCAAGAAGTTATGGATACTATAATAATAGCATTGTGTTGCCTGAAGATGCTAAGGTTGATGAAATTAAGGCTGAGATTAATAAGGGTTTTTGACAATTACTATTCTTAAAAGTGGGAAACCTAAGAAAGATGTTAAGGAAATTGAAGTTATGTGAGTTTTTTCTTTGGTTCAAAAGTGTTGAAAGTATTATCTTTGACATGTTGTGGGTGTTTGTATAATAATTAAAGTTTTTTTGAGTTTCAAGAGGGTGTGACAAGAGTGGCTTTGCTTTATTGTTTTCATCCTATTTTCAATCATTTGAATCCAAGAAAAAAAATTGGCCAGAATAGTTTCAAAATAAATTAACTTTTTGTTATTTTCTAAATTGTATGAGCATTTATTATAATACTTTCTTTTTGTCATTTTACTTCTGCTTCTTGATTTTTCTTGTGGCTCTTTTAATAAAATAATATGATGAACATTCAAATTGGTCAAATTCATCTTATAAAATGAAACTTAAAAAAATATTGACTTCATGTATCTAATGAAGTTTCATCAATATAAAACAATTCTCAAGATCACAATTTTTTTTATCATTTATTTGATTTAATGTCAAGTTCTCTATATACAAGTAATTTTTTTAAAAAAAATATGACTCAATTTTAGATACACTCTCTATATTTTAAACTCAAACATTTACACTTTACGCTTCATGTACTATAATTACACTTGCACTTCCAATTAAGTTATAGAACTATAAGTACACTTGCACTTCCAATTAAGTTTATCTATAACTGAAGGACATGCGAGACAAGTATCCCCAACTATTCGTCGATTCAGATACTACTCCACTCTTGCCTTAGCCAAGTTTTTCCTAGTTTATCACTTGGGGACGAGTGATAAGTAAATTGGTATCTATTGTAACGACATGTTTCCGTCTTTATGGAAAAGCTAACGGGGAAAAAATTTGGGCTAGAATTTTTTTTGGTAGTAACTTGAAAATTCCTAGACTAGTCCAGATTTGGATGAAATTTGAGTCATGCGAGTTCTAGGGAAATCTGGTAATGAATGAGAGATTTAATAATGGATTTGATTACATGAGTAGATAGCTAAGACGTTAAGGAACCCATACGACCTTACAGAATCAAATTCAGACGAGTGGAAGTACTCCTGAAACTAAACTTAGCGTGAAAGGGTAGTTTTTGAATGTGATGAGTTATAGGTGTGTTGTAAAAAGGGGGTTTGAAACTCAAATTTTGACTCTTTGTTTCCGTGCAAGCCGACAGGGCGAGATTTATTCTGCCAGGGCGGGGTAGCTGTGGCGGGTTGGGTCCCGCTACGGCGGGCCAGTCGCGACTTAAGTTGGAATAAAACCCCCAAAATGTTATTTTTCTGAAAGTTTCGTTCTTGAGAGCTAAGAGACAACCCCAGGCGATTTCTTGACAGTTTTCCACGTAATTTGGTGCTAAAGGTAAGGATCTTACTCTCCTAATCCATTTTTCGATCCGTAGAACTTAGATTCTTGGTTGCTTATTATTGGAGGAGGGTTTTTGAACTAAATTGGATGGTGGGAAAAAACCATAGCTGCACCTTAGGATCATGGATTTGGTCTAGGGTTATTGGGTTTGTAATAATTCGGTTAATTAGACCTTTGATCGTTGATCCTTGCGTATATTAATTATTTGTAGACCTAGAACAAGTGAAAACAATCTAGAAAAGGGAAGATTCAAGTGCCTTAGGGGATTCAAGCTTAGATTCGTGGTAGGTGATCGTTTGATTTCTTGTTTGCGTAATATATGTTGGTAATTGCTTCATTGTAATGCATGTATGTATGTGAATGAAACATTGTTGATCAAACCTAATGAGACGAGTGTGAATGAATAAATGTATGCCATGATTTAACAATTGATTGTATGATTATGAGAATGTACATATGAGTGTGATTGTGATTGTGGTTGTGGTTGTGTTGAATGGATCGGGTGTCACGTTCTGACACACTAACTTGGATTGGGTGCCACGTTCCGGTGCATATATTGGATCGGATGTCATGTCCGACACACTAACTTGGATCAAGTGCCACGTTCCGGCGCATATATTGGATCGGGTGTCACGTCCGACACACTAATTGGGATCGGGTACCACGTTCTGGTACACTAACAGTTTGGGTATGGGTTCCATGAGAGGACCATTGAATTATCATAATTACTTGTTGTTGAGAATGTGGATTTGTACATTGCTCTTGAAATGATAAATGTGTTTATATTCAGTACATGTCATGTTTACCTTGTTGTTATTCTGATATATGTTGTGTTTAAATTGAGAAAATTTGAATATGTCGTAAGTGTGGACATGGTTTTTGCTATTATAGTAGAATGGACCAGAACTCTTAACATATTTGTCCTTCAACTTAACTAAAACTCCATTATGGTTGCTCAAGTTTTCTTTCATGCATGAATATTGTTGTGCTTTGGATGATCTATTTAAACACTTCACATATTAATATTAGTTCAGAATATTATTATTTCTTTTAAAGTTCATTTGCTTCTTAGAAGTTTGTATTTTTTTCTCTTAAATTAAAATGCTTATTCGGGTGATAATTACTAAGTTTCCTTTTCTTATAAATCGGCAGCAGAAGTCTTTTTTGGTTCATTTCATTGTTTTCCTTTTATATATATATATATATATATATATATATATATATATATATATATATATATATATATTCCATCTAATTTTCTAACAAGACATATGGTAGTTGTGATTCTGTTTTACCTTTCCCTTTTTAGTTGAGAACGTTCCTTTCTCAAGTCAACAGAGTTACTTAAAATAAAAGTACGAGAATATAATAGTCTTCATACTTGGAGAAAAAAAGAATGAGTGGTAGACAATAAAGTTCATGCCAAATAAATAATAAGAATGATAAATATTATAATAATCATGATTTTATATTTAAGAATAATTGGTGTTAATCTCTAGTTGTCCTCTTATCTGTTTCTTGGAATATAAATTAAGATTTTTTGTGTTTAGTTTCGAATTTGAACTTGATTCACAAAAAACACTTTGATGGACAAAAATATGTGAATTTGTTCTTTTAAAACCTTGGTATTACATTTGCCTTTATTAGATTTATTTTGAATACCTAGGTATTTAGTTTGCCTTCATCCTTGATCTTCATAGAGAACTTATAGTATTTAATTAATCCTCGAAATCCTCTAGCCTGTTAAATTATGAAAATCCTTATTATAGTTGTAGGTTAGAAGAACTGTGATAAGGACAAACTATTTTCAATCATATTGAAGTTGACATGATGATATTGATTGACTAAAGCATGTCCTTGTGTCAAAGATGGAAGAGATGACAAACTCTTCTTGACCAATCAAATTGAAACTCTCATGACAATATTTGATTAGCTAGAACATGCAACTTCTACTAGGGTGAAACCTATATGATCAACACAACTTTTTTTTTAATTATATTTTGGTTGCTATAATGATATTTGATTAAATGAAACATGTCACTTGTGCTGGGATGGAACAATTGTGATGAGGGCAATATTTTTCGATCGATTAGGCTGAAGTTGACATGATGATATTTGATTGGTTTGAACATGTTAGTCTTGTTGAGCGGGAAGAATTGTGATTAGGATGTTTTTTTTACCAATCAAATTTTAGTTTATGTTGTTTAATGGTTGAAACACGTCAGTTGTACACGAGGGGTGTTTTTCATACGTGTTTGATTTGACCAGACATGTTGTATCACTTTCAACACGTGGCATGATCTTATTGACCATTTCACTTGGCTAACACGTCATACCAAATCACCCATATTGTATTAATATATTTTAAATTTGATATAATCCAAATTAATTCTAAACCCTAAAAAGTAAAATAAATACAAGAACCTGAAAACAATATATATATACACAATATATTTTCATATAATTGGAAAGAAATTTAGGGTTCCACTGACGGCAGAATGAAGCGCCCTATCATATCCAAATTCTTGCAGCCGAAGCCAAAGATCGAGAACAAAGGTTGTTCATCATCAAGATGGTCGAAGAATTTTCGAAGACTCCATAGAAGACACAAAATTCAGAGATCTGCCGGAGCCAACGATGCCGAAATGGAATCAACAAATTTGCAAATCGTGAATTCCAATCAAGTTGAAATGGAATCAACGGATTTGCAAATCGCGAATCCTAATCAAGTTGAAATGGAATCAACAGATTTTCAAATCTTGGACTCTAGCGAAGTCGAAGTTGATCCTACCTCGCTGAATTCTGATGTCATCGCTATCACTGAAAATAACAGCGGCTACAAGAGCGGAGATGATGATATTGAGTTACAAACAATTCTCTTTTACTCAGCTCAGTTTCATTCTGGTAAGAACTTAGAATCAGGCTCTAATCATAGTGTTGGTAAAAAAACCTATGGAAATTGATTATTCTGTTATTCCAGATTCACTTAACCTAAAGAATAGTATTACTGAAAAAGGGGAATCTTCATGTACATTTTGTGAAATCTGTAAAGATGTGTTTCCGCTGCCAAACACAATGATGTGGGGCACCAATTGCAATCATCGTTACTGTGTAGAATGCATACATAATTATATAGGTAAAAAAATCAATGAGGTTATCCATGAGGTTGCTATAAGGTGTCCTGCTTCTGATTGCAAGGAAATTTTGGATATCGATTTAATAATGCCGATTGATTTTCTTATCCGAGTAAGAGATGTCAGTCGACTAATGAAAGCTTTGGCTTCGCCACTAGTTATTGATTGCCCTTATATGGATTGTATGGGTAAACTGATTGATGATCAACAAGGATATCCAATTAGGGCATGTCCTAAGTGTTGGAAAATTTTCTGTGTCAATTGTAAAAGCTTACATTTTGGAATGACATGTGAGATTTATCAATTTAGTAGGCAATTGAATTTGCTCTACTGGCAGCAGCAATATGGAGGATATCATGATGAACTAGAGGATGAGGAGGAGAGGGAACAAGAAGAAGAAGAAAGAGGAGGAGAAGAAGAATAATAAGGAGAAGAAGAAGAAGAAGAAAGAGGAGGAGAAGAAAAATAATAAGGAGAAGAAGAAGAAGAAACTCCTTGATCA